TTCAATCCTACTACTTTTCCATTTTAAATGTTTTTTATTTACTTGTTTCCATTCTTTTTTCTTAAGTTAATAAAATTACACTTTGTTATGATTGTGTGGTTAGGTTAATTATATTCATGATAATCACGTGCGCATAAATTAAAATGGCGTCAAACCACAAACCCACGCGGTGATTTTGTCTTCCATTTTGTTCTCTGTCCTCGCTTCTTTCTGAAACTACCTTTGTGGTCCTTGACCCAAGCCCAGAAGAGTGATGTGAAAGCCAACTCGAGCACTTCTCTAACTTAGAAGATTAAAGAAAGAAAGAAGAAAAAGTCTGAAGAATTTTGCAAAAATTTGAATTTGGGCCTATTCTCCAGAAACACTCCCGCTACACTACAGTCCACTTTAAAGGTACCAGGTAAATCGCTCAGTGAAGGAGAGCTCATCTAAGCCATTTATAAGGCTGTACAACGTAAAATAAAAGAGATATAAGTGTTTGAAAATCATAAAAACGGCCGCCATCTTGAAAAACCAACCTCAATCCTACTTATAGGCTACCGCCTATATAATTCTGAAATTCAATTTTAAATTTGGACCAGCGGCTGCAGCAGCGAGGTATAGGACTCTATTCTCATGATTCTCATGTTTGTGATTGTGTTGCTGGTAGTTTTCTCTGTATGTATTGCCACAGGTTAGTTCATAGACTGTCATAAAGCCTAGATTAATCTATCATTTAGGAGGTGGCAATGTAAAAGTCACATTCACTTCATCTCATGACCCTCCAAATATTGCTGAGGGAGGCACTGCAGTCTTTAACTGTTCTTCAAATCATTCAACTGTTCTTATCAGTTGGTTGTTAAATAAAACATCAGCTTCAGTATTTACTTCACTTGGTGTTATTGTTAATGGAGGAGGGACACCAGTCTCTTCTCTCATTATACCAGGACTAGTGAATCCATTCAATGACACTGAAGTACAATGTGTTGCATTTGGATTTGGTATTGGTGACTTTAGTCCTTCTTCAGTGACACTGAAAGTACAGGGTATCCCAGCACCTGTTGATAATTTAACACTGTCTTATGATTCTTGTTGTTATATGTTTTCCTGGACAGCTCCTTTCACTCTGCCTGGTTTTTCTATCTTGAATTACAATGTCAATGTCACCAGCGATGGCATGATGATAAATCAAACAAAACTTAATGTCTCTATTATACAATGGAAATACTGTCCTAAAGAGGTGGTCACTCATACATTCAGTATAGCAGCTGTCAATAATGTAGGAGAAGGAAAGATAAGCAACCTGTCTATGGAGAAAAGTATGTTGTTTATGTATCTAAGATTATTACTTTATGATTAATAATTACAAGATGAAATCAATGACACAGAGCTGATAGATCAGTATCTAGATTATGAGTCTCAAAATCACATAATTGACATAAAGATATCTGTAAGTTGTTCTTATCAACAATAGATTAACAATGATGCTCTTATTTTAGA